CATGAATGGATTGAAATATTTAATTAAATTATCTCAAAATAAACCTTCATTTCGGTGCAATATTGAAATTAGCTTGGATTCTTCATAACCTCTGAATAGTGGTATAGTTTCTTAATAAATATGCCTGTCCCGGACAATATCACCCATAAACTACATGGATAAAGCAGAAGGGGAGTGTTGCCCATCCCTGCCATGCCTTGTAATGAATAAATTGCACTGTTTCAGGTGTTGATGTTCCTCCGGACTCTACCGCATTTCACCCTCTTTTTCTTCTAGTAGAGTTTGGGAATCGTTACCACTTTCCAGTTCCAAGCCGCTGGGAGTGGTGGACCATGGAGACATCCTCGTGAATGATTTAATGACATCAAATTTCAATTCAGAAATACTGTTCAGTGCAGAGTAGGGTGGTGGTGTTCTGCTGGTGTAGTTGATGTGATATTCTCCACTATAAATCATATGTAAACCAAAGGAGTGAGATGTCAAATTGCAGTTCACCCCTTCAATTGGAATCCCTCATCCTACTTCCATGTGGATCTTGGTTCCCACTGGCTGTGTTTTGGATTTAGAGTAGAACCAATCAACATAAGTTCTCACACATGTATTATGGATCTCTTCTCTTCCTCCCTCCTTACTCCATCTATCTTGTGGGTCACAGTGGAGGTACTTGGGATTGTTATGATTTTTTCCCTTCTGCTCTTCCTTGATGTATCTTATTCAAAGGAAGTTATTGCACCTGGGTTGGTTCTGATCAATTTCAGAATTGAGGGAGTTGGTAGACATCTTTTGATTCCGGATGTTGGGTCCCTAGATCGATATATCATTTTCTATTCTTCACATGTGCCCTGTTCTGGAGTCAGGGGGGTTTGAGATCCACTCCTGTTTCTTGAACTTGAAGTGAAGATGGTATAATCATCATCCTACTCTCTTATGGATTTCAGTTCCCAGCGGCGTAGTTTTTGGATGTAGTTGACTTGCCGAGTACAGTCTGTTGCACCCTAGCCTCTCTAGACCTGGGGACACTTCCATTGTTTTTTTCCCACACCAATTGGTTGTGCTCTTCTTTTTTCCACCTATACAGACAATACTTTTCTCAGATGTGTGAAGAATATACCTGATTCAGAAGTAGTGTGGTGTCCCACATCAATTCTTCGAATCTGACTCTCTAGTCTCAAGTTGTGTCCATCGGTTGCTTCTTTTCTTACCTCTCACTGATCTCTCCACCTATTCAATGTGGGATTCTAGCTAATTATGTGAGTGGAGGTAATGTTATCATATTGGAAGGTACCTACTTCTCCTCACACTTCCCACTCTTCTTCCCCACTGAAAACCAGTGTTTCCATTTTCTGACAAAACTTGAAGTAATAGTTTGGTAGAATTGAATAGAGGGAGTCAAAATGTGACAAGGGTGTGTGGTACTTTCATTGGTGGAAGGTTGTCGCAGGATGATTTGCACGAGACACACATTGAAATGAGTCATTTCTAATGGAGGGGAAGCAAAAGGCTTTTGGCATGTGTATTTTTTATTTTTTTTTCATATAGAGAGCAGCACTGAATGAGAATAGCTAATTATGTAAGCGGAGGTAAGTACCTATCAGAAATACATTTTCAGTATAGGAAAATTATAATTTCTTATTTTATGAAATAAAACAGCAAATGATTGCAAAAATTACATTTTGGGTAGCATTTGATGATATGTCCCAAATAGCTTGTTTTATTTAATTGCTTGACAATAATGTAAGCTTAAACGTTAAACAATTAGTTGTCATTTCTGCTCTGTTGTATTATTGTTCATAGTAAATCATATCTGATTAACAGTTGAGTTAACATAATCTGGGCCTTATGCCAAATCATACATATTCCAGCCTCGTAACATCCTTTCGTTGCATAGAAACCGTCACTAGTAGCCCTGATAATAATAACTGGTTCACCAACTTGGACATGCTTTGGGACAGGTGTATGTTTCTGAGGTTTTATCATATGCCTTTTAACCACCAACACCTTTTGTTTAAGTTTTGAAAAATATGTAATCAAATTAAAGTAGTTAAGTTGTTAAATTTTTATTAACATATCTGAAATGCAACTTCAGTATGTGTTAGACTATTAATGTATATTTATTTGCTTTTATAATACAAAAGTGTTATCAAAAACAAACAAAAAATATTGTCAACAAATGGGTTGTTTGAAAACAAAAACAAATTTTGAAATTAATTATTCAGAACCAACGTTTAAAATTATAACTTGCACTTTTTTGCTGTCACAAACTACAAAATAAAAAATAATAATGTATGTTTTATCACCATGCAATTTATTTATATTATTTAAACTTGAGTAAATGAAAAATAAATATCCAACTCTTACATTTTCTTTGAAAAGTGACCAATAACATTAATTTCTGAAATAGAAGTTTTAGTTTTTTAAGGAAGAAAATGATAATGAGGTCTCTATTTTAAAGGAAAATGCTGCATTGTGTGATGAAGTTACTCAAGTCCAAGAGAAGATTTTAATAGCTAAAGAAGATAGAAGGTTAGTGTTTGATATATTATAAAAAGCTTAAAGGTTCTGTTCTATAAATGAACAAGGGGGCTTCCTTTTATAAGTAAAATTGCTGGAGTAATCCAAGCATAGATGCTAAAAAAAAGGTATTACTCCTAAAGTGTTACATTACCACTTAATATTTAGCCAGCAGATAAGTTGTTAACACACCAGTCAAACTATCCACTTGGTTTCCTAGTGAATTATATATATATATATCCCATTCTCTTTAGATCCTTAATTATTGTATTTTGGCACTTGTGTATAAAGTTAAAATCATAAATAATATTCAACATTAAAATTGGTGCACAATTAAAAACATTTTATTTAGGCCTATCTATGGCCTTCAAAAAGTTGACGACTCTACATGTTTTGACATTGCAATATCATCCTCAGGAGTCGACGTTGCAACATCGAAACATTAATGGACCAACATAATCAATAATGACTCTGCTGAATGGCTTATCAAATGCAGATATTGGCTGCAGCAGAGCAACAGGGACTGGAACACTGGTTTACTAACCATCTGACATGTGTGGCAATTCTTATGAAATTCGGACACATCGCCCATAAAACATGGCTGGAAAAAATGTCTTATTATCCTGTCACATGTTTTGTTCACACCCACATGTCCACCCAATGAAACTTTGTGTGCTAGTCTCATTATCTCATGTATATATGCCTTGGCACAACAACTTGGTATACAATAGCCCACTCTTCATTGATGGGAAGATCAGCTGCATGCCATTTTCTCATAAGTACACCATCCTTAATAAAATATCCCACAGGGGCATTCTCTAATTCATCCTCAGGGAGGACCTTATCCACAAGTGAGGCAATCTTGGGATCTCTCTCCTACTCTAAAAGAAGCTGTCTTTTCAAAGAAAACTCATCAACCTTCATATTATCTCGCTTGCTAGATACCTTACACACTTTATCCTTGGGAGAATCCTTAACAACAGAAGGGTGATCATTGTCCTCATTATGGGACATAAAGTATCTGACAATTCAATAAAATCATCTTGTAACACAGTTTCAATCTTTGCTAAATTTTCAGTGTTTTCTTATGCCTTTTTGGCCATAGCACAGGCTGGAAATAAACCTGACATTTTTGCCTCAACAACTTTACTATCCATGCTTAGAAACAACACAAGGATCAGCAATCACCTGATTACCTACAAAGTCATTACCCAGCAGTAAAGAAACACCCTTAACTGGCAAAGTAGGGCTAATACCCATAGTAACAAATCCTGAGGCTAAGTCTGACTGTAAATAAACTTTGTGCAGAGGTACATTCACAAGCTACCCTCAATGCCCTGAGCTAAAATAGATTCACCAGTGGCTGACTCACTAGAAAAAGGCAGTGTAGCCTCCAACAACAAAGACTGAGTAGTCCTAGTATTACGAAGAATTTTAATAGGCACCAGTTTGTTTGGACCTATTGAACCTTACTTTATGAGTTAAGCCAAAATCATCAGCCATTGTAACAGCTTGTTGCAAGGTTTCTACTTCTATCTCATCAAAATAACTCTTGAGGTCATCCCTAACACACCTTTTAAATTCTTCCACCAAAATCAGTTGTTTCAGATTTTCAAAGTTGTCATTCATGTTTTTAGATGTGTACAATCTTCCAAAAGAGACCTCTTTCTCAAGAGTGAATTCTAAAATTTACATGCATGTAACAATGATATTTGTCACAAATGTTAGGCCTGTTGGTTTCTAATGCTTTTAGTTTTCAAATAGTTGCATTGGAAAAATAACTATTTTGTTACAATATATAATAAAGGTGTTATGGGAGAGATTAGTTTAGAAGAATTAATAAAATATAGCACTAAGCTTTATTAATAATACATAATAAACTCCATTTATTTTACTTGATATTTTATACATGAAACTTTTCCTCTTTTTTTTTATCCTACTTTTTTCAGTAATATTAAACATGTGGAGTATTTTTTGTTCTCTTTACCAAGAAAATCAAACTTTAATGAAATAGTTGTCACAATGGTTTACTTTGCAAGAAAAACATAAAACTCTAAGCTCATAAAATGTATACATTATGATAGTATTGTAAATTATCTTAACAAAAGCAAAAACTGTCAAAAGAAATGCATGAAAATCTCGCATACACTTGGAAATCTTCATGAGACATAGGTCAGAAAAACAAGAAGTTTACATTCCATTATTTAAAATGTCAACCTAAAAATTGGGCCTCAAATTGTTTGGAACATATACGAAAGATGAGGTTTGTGTGTGTGAATTTTTTTAATGCACAGTATATATTCTTAGTAAACTCAGTTGCTTGTTTCTGAAGTACTGTACCATGGTTATTTGAAGCTAAGACAGTACATTTTTATGGAAATTGTTTCTTAATGGTATCATCATCTAGTTTGAGCAAGGTAAAGTTGTTTAGATGTATATTGGGGACCTTACTGAACTTGAAATTTAATTGTTAATTATGTCTCTTTTTCAATGAATAAAATATATGAAATTTTAGTTGTGGTTTTGTTTTTATGTTACATATTAAAAACGAAACACTTAGTCAAATAAAGACTAAGTCAAACTTTTTATAAACATTCTTGGCCTTAGATTTTTCTTGTAGTCATTAGTATTATTTTTCTTAGAACCTGTTTCGGGTAGAGGCCCTGTGACAATTATTACAATGATATGTTTGATGTGCCAATGAGCTTTAGGGAAGTATTTTATAGATTTGATTTATAATTAATCAATTTTTGAATTACTCATTCTACTTTTTTTCTATCATTCTTTTCTAATTGGCTTCTATTAGCTTTGCTGTTGTTTTGATAATTAGTCTAATTGGTGTATGGTACAGCAGTTGTTTTTATTGATTGTTGTTTTTGAATCTCAAATAAGGAAAATGTTAACTTGAGAAATGCTATTTGTCTCTGCAGCATTAAGAGTTGAAAATAGTGTAGGGACCAGTACTGATCACATACAAGGATGAGCTTCTTTCTGAAATAATATAAGAAAGGGAAAGCCCCTGGGATGTGACTTCCACAAGACTGGGGTCAATACCTGGTGGGAGACCACATCCTTCTTAAGCAGGGAATACTCTTTGCCCAATGGTTGTTATTTATTCATTTGTATATGCAGTTACATCATAGAGAGATTTACAGTAAAGGATATCAGGCAAATCCAGTGCCAGTATGTCACAAAGGTGGGTGGAATGTCAGAATGTGTAGTATGGCTAAGGCATTAGGCTGTTCTGTCTTGATAAAATACTTACATGAGATAGATATTTTAATGACAGGTGAGGGAAGGAGGAGCTCTCATCTGCATTATGAGCCAAATCCAAGTTTCATGTCCACAAGGAATTACTTAGGATATATTGCAATGAGGTGTCCTGTACTACACTTTCATGGAATAATTCATTCTTACATTTAAAGCAAGGAGTGGGCCCAACCGCTCTCTTACTGGGTGAGTGGAAGGCATATCTTACAGAGGAAACTCCATATCAACATTCCCTGCAGCTTGGGACTGGGAAGTAAGGATTCTTCCATGCTCCACTAGAAGAACAGGGGATCAAGGAGGAATACACATTAGGGAGCAACAAAGAATGTGCTTTGACCACTGTCATTGGGCACAATAATATGCAATTGGATCCCCACCAAGAAACAGTGCAATGGATTAGTACAGCTAAAGACAGAAAGCCTGAGCCAATTGTGTACTTTTATCTTTATTCTGTTGTTTGAACACTTGTTTTGTACTTTCTTGTCTCATGTGGCCTAGGTCTTTACTATGTAAGTATTTAGACAGGCATTTCGATTCATTTAGTGTTGTTAGTAATAATGGAAGTATTTCACTAAATACTAAGAAAGAAATACAGTGTAGCCCCATTATAACGCAATTGTTGAGGTCCATAAAATGTCATCGCAAAATAAGCGGGGTAGCGCTAAATCGTGGTTTTGTAAAGATACACTTAAAATATTAAAATTTATTAGTATATAAACTATAACGAGGTTATGGTTACGAGGTCGGTCCGAGGGACTGAGCCCATGTCGAAATAGTTAATGACCCATCGTGTTATATCCGAATTCACATTAAATCGGGGTTTCACTGTATCATATTAGGCTTCTTTTCTTATGAATGCATTTCAAAATAATACAATTGTTTAGTTTTGAAATGTGTTATATGTCCTTTTCTAGCAATTTTATTTTACTGATATACACATAGTATGTATGCATGTCAATCTTTATATCTAAAGTATGTAAAATTTAACCCTTTAAGTTGTAATTTCTGTGGCTGCTTAGGTTTCTTTTGAAGAAATTGATGTTGTGCCTAGGAATAAAAGAGGGTGCTATGCAAGGAAGCTTGCAGCCCAATAGTGGCTTGACAGCTTCATCCCAAGTATTAACAGCATCTTCTACACCATCATTGTCTCATAATGACAGTGGAGACCTGAAAACTAAGAAAAAAAATCCAGTGAAAAAAAAGACTACCAAAGATGCATGTGGTAAGTATTTAAACTTCAATCACAGTATGGTGACTTGATACACTTTAACAAGTAACAGAAAAGTGGACCTTCAATTCACAGACATATCTGTAGTTCACAATTTAAACAAAATTTTACTTCTGTTGATTTAAATTAGAAGTTTTTAAGAATATGAAGCAATTTTTCTCTTTACTACCATGTTTTACTGTATTTTTAATATATTTATTTTTGTTGATACCACTTGGTGTTCAAAATTACATTTAATTATTAGTTTTTCTTTACCACCTAAAAGTATGTAGGCATATTAAAAGTTCTACAGGAAGATTTCTTTACTAACAGTTCAGTTAATATTTTCCTTTAGCTAAAATTTGATTATCTATGATATGAGAATATAGTTATTGGATAGTTTCTTGAAATTGATATTATATTGGTTGCAAATTAAATATTTCTTATGTTTTACTGATTTTATTATGCCACTAATATGTAAGTTGTCAATACTGTTAACAACTTCTCTTTTTTAATGGTTCATTAAATTGTTCAGTGAATACTTTACACTATGCGACACAGAATGCCACATGACCCATCCATTATCAGAAGGGCTATGCACAAAATCATATAATTAAATATGAAAAGCATTGATTACATTATAAACATACACTAAAACTTGTAGTTCAGTATGCACTTTAATGACTGAAATTAATGCATACATTAAGTGTTTTTTAAAGGATGTGAAAAACAAAAAAGAATATAAGTGGAACTGCTATTTTGACATTTTATACAACAACAGTTGTTATAGTATGTACGCCTTTTACAAGCTGGTGAATAATGATTGCAATTATACTTGTTACAAGACAGTATTACTGTAATTTTCCAAATATACTACACACAAGGTTCAAGTTTTCCTTATCACCATAAATAATATGCATCTAAACATTTCCAATTTTGTGGTCAAAGTAACCCTTTGATGACAAGAGTATCTGTAGAATCTCTAACTGAGTGTTTGTCTCAGTACTTGCTGTGTGGGATATGCATAGTTTTGTCTGAAATATTTCCTTCCTGTGCATACATAAATATAGTAGTTTTGTTTTATAAGACTGATTTAGAAATACACCATGAAATTAAAGATTTACACAATGAAGCTGCATTGGCTGTTTATGGTAAGTGCTGACACTTAGTTCAGTGCTTAAAGAGGATGGGGACATTTTTATTTCATCAGGTTGATTTAAAAATACACCTAACAACTCATAACAAAAAATCCTTTTAACTCTTGCTACAGGATTGGCTGATTCAAACGATCATGTGACCACAAATTGACCTTTGGAGTTTCCATACTATAAATTAAATGTGTTTTGTGTACCTTCACAAAATTTTTCAAGCTTTTATTTACCATCACAAGTCTTGTAGACAAAAAATGAAAAATTTTAATTCATTTTTTTTAAAAAAGCTTCTTGATAATTTTATTTAAAAATCATGTTTAAAGATACTGAAAATGAATGAAAACAGGAGACAATTGTCCTTTATGCCTCAAAAATGGAGAGAATTAATAAGATGTACCATCGAAACTCAACATTTCTATTAAGTATGTATTATCGTTCACATGTCAGAAAAGATGGTCTGGACTGGCTGCAAAAAAAAAAAAATTGTGGTTTTATGACAATAAATTATATGCACCCTGACATCTAAAAAAACGTTTAGTGAAAAAACTGCATATTATATTCAGAAAATTATGATAGGTATATTACTTTTTTTTTAAACATTATGTTCTTTAATTTGTCCATTAGGGATTTCCAAGAATTAGAAGAATGTATAATAATAGTATTCCAGCCACACTATATTTGTCAAAATCATTACTGGCAATGTGTTTCTCTCAGTCCAGAGGTTGGAACACTATTTATATAAGCCATTTGATACAACATCACTTGTTATGGTGTGTACGCCTTTTACACACTGTCAGAGAATGGTGAAATCATAAACTTAGAGTAGCTTGCAAACTTGAGTAATAGAGTTGACCATTAACATTAGACCTCTCAAGTGGTCAATAAGCACTCCACCCTACCAGGAGGGTGTTTACCAACTGATATTTGTCTTTACTAAAGTTAAAGGTAGCAAGAGCTCATCTTCCTAAAGATGTTCTCCTGTTCAACACACATCTAATGAATACACTAGTATACTTAATGATAAGGTTTTAACTATAAGTGCTTTACTCAAAAAAGTTATATTAAAGTGTAAGCTACACAAGAAAGAAAGGAGGTCTGAAGATGCAGCAAATGTAGAACTAAAAAACGTGAATTATTTTGAAACATATTTCATTTAATGTTGAAAAAAAGATAGCAAATAGGTATGTACAATGTATTTTTTAAGATATATGTATAATTAAGTTTATTGTTGTGTGTTCAGAACATTGAAGTAAATATAAATAAGTAATTATATTGATATATATAAAGAATTCCTTAAAAATCATCTACATCTAAATACTTTAGAATTCCAGAAACATCCCGAATTAAACATTTTTAGAATTGTTCTAAATAAATTTACCCATATTTTTTTTACTTGTTATGAAACAGAAGATGGTATAAAAATAAAACCCAAAAAGAAAAAACCAACAACAGATCGACCACAAGCACAGGTTCCATCCAGTAGTGCAGCTCAGCCTATTTTCCCTGTACTGTTAGGAGACTTAACCGTCTATTGCCTTGGGGAGGTAAGATTAATAGAAGTTATCAAATGTTTTTCATGCTTGAACTCTATATATAGAAAATATGATTAAGTATTCAACCTCTTTGGAATGGAAAAGGTTAATTAATTGAAAAATTTGAACCCATTATTTTATAAACTGATAAAAGCTACTTTTAGAAGAGTTTGGTTTAAACTACTATCAGAGCAAAATTGCAAAAGGCTTTACTTCATCTAAATCCTTTTAATTTTATAACTTAAGATCTGTTTTCTACATAAAAGATTCATGCATATGTTCAAAACAAAGACTTAAAATAGTAAATCTGATTACTATAGCAAAAATTCAGTCTATTTAAATACCTATTATTAATAGGGGGAACAATTGTTAAAAAATTAGATATAATTATATAATTTTGAAAAAACCAGTAATATAAATTTTTATACCACCAGGGAATATCATATCGACAACAAATATATATGCTGTTTAACTCTCTCACAATAGGCTTGGTCCCAGGGACCATCCTAGTAACCATTTTGTTTGTACTTATTATAGTTTTCATACTATAACTTAAAACTGTAAGCGTATCTTCACGAAATTTTGTGGATTATCAATAAACATTACAAGGGTTTCATATGCAAGATATATTTTTTTATTAAGCTCTAAGTTTTTTAAGTAATGTTTTTCTCATGCATTTTTCTTTTTGGATGTTGACTACCCAACATGCAAAGTAATTTTGATTTTAAGATTAAAAATACTTTTATGCATCAGAAAATTTTCAAATTTCATATGTGAAATCTTTATAACCTCCAGATAGTTATCAAACGTTTTTTTTAGAAAAACTTTTTTATTTTATCTGTTATTTTCACTGTTGTATCTCTATATGGGTTTGGTCAATTTTACCAAGCTTGTAACCACCATATAAATATTAAGAAATAGATATAAATTATGCTTTTTTCATTCTAGAATGACTACAAAATATAACACGAAAACACAAATTTTTAGTCTAAATAGCTTAAATCTCATAACATTATACATTTATATATATTTATTATTTGTATTATATTGATCTTCCTGTCATGCATGGCTAACAATACAGAAGTTACAATGATGCGGTGCACATGCACTCATGGTACTGTATCCAATAATATAAAGCTGACCTTTAGTCTTTACAAAGTGACCTGTCTTGGCTGTGCTTTAATGGACTAGTATTTTGTAAGATACAGTCACATTTCAGTTATAATACATTATATATATATACATTATTACTATTTACAAATAAGTTCTTAAACTTATTTTTCTTAAAACATAGAACAGTAAATGAAGAAGTAAAGCAAACAATTATCTCTTCTTGTGGGCCCGGCATGGCCAGGTGGTTAGGACACTCGACTCGCAATCTGTGGGTCGTGGGTTTGAATCCCCGTCACACCAAACATGCTCGCCCTTTCAGCATGGGGGGCATTATAATGTGACAGTCAATCCCCCTATTTGTTGGTAAAAGAGTAGCCCAAGAGTTGGCAGTGGGTTGTGATGACTAGCTGCCTTCCCTCTAGTCTTACACTGCTAAATTAGGGAAGGCTAGCGCAGATAGCCCTCATGTAGCTTTGCGCAAAATTCAAAATAAACAAAATCTCTTCTTGTTACGACCTTTGTACTTGGTTGCTGCTTCTTGTAGCTTGCTAAGCCTTAAGAAATTTTGCACGTGGAGGATATGAAATGAAATAATTTTTTTTAGGTTTATATATACATTTGAATAAGCAAAGAATCATAAATTACTATAATGATACCATAGAATTCCATTATAATTTATCAAGTTTAGTAACTAAGCTGTATTTCGGTCTAAAAAACAAAATGACATTTCAAGCAGACTAAAGACACAACCAACCTCCTTGAAATCTTGTTTCGAAAGAAAAAAGATAGCATCTACTATCCATCTCCTTTCCAAGGCGATCCTGAGGGATTTTTGAGGGATAGCCTCTCCCTAATTACCTCATCGGCTTGTTTTTTTGTCTTTGGCTCTACCATTCTCTGTTGTTGGGATCTCTTAGGTCGAGACGCAGCTTTGTCCCAAGTTTGTTTACCACCTCCATATCGTAGGGATTTACGAATATCTCCTATTCTTTGGTGGTTTGTTTTGGTGATGTATCTGAGACGTTGGAATCACGTGTAGAGTCTCTGTGTCAACACTCAACCCTATTCTCTTTGATTGCACATTTGTCGAAGTTGGAGCCAAGACAAGCCCCTATTCCTGTTTCCTGTCCTAGTTTTTCTCAGCCCTTACCTGTTCCTCCTTCCAGGGGTTTCTCATCTTGTCATTTTATTTGATTTCGATGGGCTCACTCTCAACTGACTACTCAGTGGGTTCCAGTCCAGTGGGAGCTTGTTTGTCCGAATTTGTTCCCCCATTGGCGATATTTTGCCTCAGAACCGTGGGTTATATGGGTTTTATTCAAGGGGCTTGTCCTACAATTTATGTCCCTTTCCACTCCTTTGTCTCAGGTACCCATTTCCTTCCTTATGCCTCGGGACCCTATTACCAGTCAGTTTCTGTCCAAGGTGGTACAAGACCTTTTGTCCCATCAAGCCATAGCTGTCCATCATCCTTTTACAATTTCTTTGTTATCCCCAAGAAAACTGAAGACTGGCGGCCTGTAATCGATTTGTCTGGCCTCTATCAGTTTCTGATTCTGCCCCATTTTACCATGGAGTCTTTTCTCATCCTCAGGTGGGGTTTTTCTCTGGGTTTGTGGATGACCAGGATGGATGTTGCGAATGCCTACTTGCATATCCCGATATATCTCATCAGTTGCGATCATATCTGTGGTTTGTTCACCACAAGATGGTTTATCAGTTTCGTGCTCTGCCCTTTGGGCTTGCTTCAGCCCCATATGTTTTTTGTTGGGTGGTCACAACATTCACTTGTCACTTACATGCTCTTGGGTTGCACTTCCATCATTACATGGATGACTGGCTACTATTAGCTCATACCAACCAGGATTCTGCTGAGCACACTCATCAGCTGCTTCTAGAGATAGCTCGGGTGGGTTGATTAATAAAATTGGAGAAGTCATTCCTTCAGCCTACCCAATATCTTGTTTATTTGGGTGTTTTTTTCAACACTCATCTCAGTTGGGCCCAAACTTCTCCTCATCGTGGGTTGATCAACAGGAGGCTTTGGGACATCGGTCTGCAGCCGAGAGGTTTTTTCATATCAACATCCTTGAGCTTCTTAGTATATGTTGTGTATTGGTTAATTTTTCCATCTAGTCAGGAATCGTCTGGTAATGATCCATTCCAACAATTCTACAGTGGTTGCTTATCCCAATCACCAGAATGGCATCCGTTCTCGATTCCAATGTTTTCATACTTTGGATATTCTTTTTTTGGGGCCCACATGATCGATATTCATATCATTGTGTGTGTCTTGTTGCTGGTGCTTTCAATCTTGTTGTGGATCAGCTTTCCCGTCCAAACAAAGTCTATCCGACAGAGTGGTCTCTCGATCCTCTTGTTTTCCAGTGGCTTTGCTTTCAATGGGGTAGTCCTCACATCGATGCAACAACAAATTGCCTCTGTTTTGGTCTCCAGTCCTTCATGTTCTTGCTCTGGCTGTGGATGCTTTCAGTCTGGATTGGAGCAACAAATATCTATATGTCTGTCTTCCCATTTGACTTCTTCACAGGATGATTTCGATCATCCATGCCACTCTGTGTCAGGTCCTTCTGATTGCTCCTTACTGGCCGGCTCACACCATGGTTCCCGCAGCTACTTCAGCTCCAAACTAACCCTCTCTTACCTCTTACTTCATCCCTTCTTTATCAACTTCAGTCACTGGTATTTCTTCCAGTCCTTGGCAAGAAAATCTGGCTTGTCCCAACGGGTAACCTCTTTTCTGGCTAGTTCCATTACCCTTCCTCCAGGAAGTTTTATCAATATAAATGGAACATTTTCCACTGTTGGTCAAGGGTTTTCACCTAATCAATGCTCTGTTCCTCATATTGCAGATTGTTTAACTTGGCTTTTCAAATAGCAGTCTTCTGTCTCCTCGATCATGGGTTATCGGGTGGCCTTGTCCCACACTATTCATTTTTCTTGATACTCTTATACTCTTTCCCTTTTGATGCATTCCTTCTGGATTTGTCATCCACCTCGACGAGTTGTCCATCCGAATTGGGATGTTAATGTTGTTCTTCACTGCCTCACTTTGCCTCCATTCAAACCTCTCTCCACATGCTCCTTGTTTCACTTTTCCCTTAAGACTTATTTCCTTCTCCTCTTAGCCTGTGGATGTCGGAGCTCAGATTTATTTGCCATCAATGTTTCATGTACTCTTTATCATTCCACATATCTTCTCCTTTATCCGGATCATTCTTTTCTCTCAAAAATGTCAGGAGCTCCAGAGGGTAACTCTTCCTTTTTGACAATTTCCCTTCCTTCCATCTCCCACCTTTATTTTCAGTCTGATCCGGATAGAGTTATATGTCCTGTATGCACTCTTCATTGTTATATTTCCCGCACAGCTTCCTTCCGTCGTGCCCATTCACACTTCTTTATTCCTTGGCAGACATCCTCTGTTGGTGATCTTTCTCCTTCCACCCTCACCAGTTGGGTTTGGCTTTTAATTCAATTGGCTTATTATTCTTTATCTTCTTCCTCCTGTATTTTGTTCTAAGTGTCTTCTCATCAAATATGACACCTTACCTTTACTTGGTGTCTTATCTTCGTCATCCCTTGGAAGAAATTCTTCAGTCAGGCTTATGGACTAACTCTCATACGTTCGTCTCTCACTACTTACATGGAATCATGGTATCTTCATCTTCAGGTTATTGTCTTCCATCTGTAGCCATTCTTCAGACTTCAGTGAGACTTTGACTGAATAAGTTATCTATCACTATTATTATTATTACTCTTACTTTTCGGGGGCCTTTTTTTTTTTCCCTTTTTAGTTGCTACTCATTGTCTACATCTCGCTCTGTGGCAAGTGGTGCCTGACCAGGTATTCTTTAATTGCTCAAATCAATACTGTAAGA